CTCCCTTCCCTGAAATGCAATTTCTACTGAGGGGGCCTGGGGTCTTGATCTTGCTTAGGGCCCTCGAAATGGTAAACCCACCCCCAGGGCCGTACTTTTGAGATGATTTTTTTTTTAAAAGAACGAATGAAAATATGAGAAATATCACTCTCACTGCTATAGTGTATTTACATCATTCTGTCACTATGAGTGTTAAAATAAATTATAGCAGCAGACAAAAAGTAAAATCAATGTGCTGTGAAATGAGTTCTACATGAAATAAATTAGATTTGTAGCTGAAATGTAGCTGTGAACAAATAAGTGAACATTTTCTGTCTGGGAAAAAAGTGAGAAGCTCCCTCATGTGGTGACACAAGGATAAGACTCTTGTCTGCTCCTCTTTACAAAAAGAAGTGTTTTGCTGCCATCTGCTGGATGAATTACACATTGCAGTGTTAAAGACATACAAATGTCTTTGATATGATGGCAAATCAATATCTTTAGAACAGAAAACAATGTTTATTTACAAAACTTGTCTGAATAGCCTTCTGCTGTTGTAAACAATCAGTCCAGTTCATTTGATAATGTATTAACATACTGTTTATTGTGCTCTGATTAGAACATCATGATGGTGAAGTAAAATCCACCTAACATTATACACATTTGTTTCTAAAAATAACTTAAATGTTCAGTTTATTTTAATTTATAAATTTATAGCAAAAATCAACTATTTTAAAATAAAGTTTCAGTAAGTGAGCAGTCAGTCATCAGTGCTTGTATCTGCTGTGTTCAGGTTCACGTTTTGATGCTGAATATAAGCTGCAGTGTTTCTGTATCAATCTGCTCTAAGTTTAGTGTGACTTTATCTCCACACTGACTTATGACTGACACGAGTCTGTCCTCAGTGAAGTGTCTCTTCATGCTGGAGGAGGAGTCCCGCTCATCAGCGCTGACACTTTATCGATATATATGGAGAAAATAAAAATGCTGCTTTCTGATTTGTCACTGATTGTGTTTGATGATTTCCTCTGTTCTGTCTAATAAGGTAACAGTGAGTGTCATTGGCAGCTGTGAGTCTCTCTCTCTCTTTAGGGGGCTGACAGGAGCCAGTTTCTTCAGTGTGTTTGAGGGAGCAGAGCAGAAACTTGTGCTGACAGTCAAACAGACGGTGTGATGAGCAGAAAATGATGGAGGGATGTCTGACACTCGTTTTACTCTCCTCTATAATCACTCTAACCACATCTGGTAAGTACACAAATGGACAGTAAAGAGTTTAATTTATATGTGTGTTTAAATGAGCAGTTAATCTGTGATGGACTCATATCACTAGAAACTGAATAGATGTCTGTGCAATATCTAGAAAATAAGATCTTGTTACTAATCACTAATCATTAATTAAGAATTACATTTTATGAATGATTTGAGCTTTTACATGCATCCAATTTAATGATAAGATTATTTGTCATTTTTTTCTTTTACAGCATTAGTTGTACAGTTTGAATTTACTACATTTTTTTGTATCTTGATTTTGCTGGAATCTGCTTATGATTCTGTTTTACTGCTACTGTTGTTAAATCTCTTTCTCTCTCTTTTATGCACAGATTTTGAGACTGTTAGGTTGGTTGGTGGTAACAGCAGTGGTAGAGTGGAGGTTCATCATGATGGTCAGTGGGGAACAGTGTGTGGTGATGACTGGGATATGACTGATGCTAAAGTGGTGTGTAGAGAGCTGGGATGTGGAGAGGCTGTTGAGGCTCTGGATAATGCTCGTTTTGGACAAGGATCAGGACCAATCTGGATGGATGATGTGGACTGTAGCGGATCAGAGTCCACACTGAAGGACTGTAGATCATTAGGATGGGGTGTTAATAACTGTGGTCATCATGAAGATGCTGGAGTCAAATGCTCAGGTGAGCTGCTCCATACATCACCCTGTTAATGCATCACTGATCAAACTTTCTTATATGCAGTTTAAAATAATTGTGTGTAATTTGTGTGTTTGAATGCTTTAAAACTCTTTTGAATGTTTAAATTGGCAAGGCTTAAAACACGTACAAATGATAAGCTTTCGTGACGATGCGCAGCAGTGGCCCGTAAACTTTCCTGAGCGTCTTTTTAGGCTGGCCTCAGCCAATCGGTTGTTCCTCTGTGGTCATTAACACATTTGCAGTATTTTAGTAAAATGTCAGATCTTTCACTCAGATTCCTCTCTGGCTCTTCATGATGGTCTGGTGCGGTTGTCTGGAGAGAGACAGTGTGAGGGGGAGGTGGAAGTTTTCATTCATCAGTCTGGAGGAGAGTTCTGCTGGACTCCTGGAGTCTCACTGAATCCTCTGTGGTCTGCAGACAGCTGGGCTGTGGCTCTGTGCTGAACTTCTACGGCTCCTCTTCATCCAGTCCTGAACACAGTCATGAGTGTGTGACGGGCTTCCAGTGCTCTGGGAGTGAAGCTCATCTGGGGAACTGCAGCTCTCCACAAACTCTCAACTGCAGCTCCACACAACAGCTGTCAATCACCTGCCTTGGTGAGAAGAACAACATCTGGGCAGATTCTTCAGTTGTTACTAATCAATAATGTGTTTTTCTTTCTCTGAATATCAGGTCGCGGGTCCATCAGGCTGGTGGGTTCTGGGGGAGACTGTGCAGGGAGGCTGGAGGTTTTTCACAGCGGCTCATGGGGGACAGTGTGTGATGACTCCTGGGATATTAAAGATGCTCATGTGGTGTGCAGACAGCTGCAGTGTGGAGTGGCCCTCAGTAACCAGCAGGTACCAGCCTGGTTTGGTCCTGGTTCTGGACCCATATGGCTGGATGAGGTGGAGTGTGAGGGGAATGAGACGTCCCTGTGGAGCTGCTCTTCTCCAGGCTGGGGAAAACATGACTGTCAACACAAGGAGGATGTAGGAGTCATGTGCTCAGGTAAATATGCTGCTGTGTTTTTAAAATTATACTTAAAATTACTATAAAGGTTTTAGAAATAACCTTTTAACACACTCACAAATCCATAATGCCCAGGTTTTTCAATTTTGGTATTTTAAAATTATATTTTTCATTTTCATCTAGAGTTTAAAGAGATCAGGTTAACTGAGGGCTGTAAAGGGAATGTGGAGGTTTTCTACAATGGATCCTGGGGTAATATGTGCTGGAACCAGATGGACGGAGACACAGCGAGTCTGATCTGTCAAGAGCTGAACTGTGGAAGGTCTGGTGTTTTGTCTGATTCTACAGCAAGAGTGAAATCAGCTCGTAACTGGCTGGATAAAGTTACATGTCGACCACATGATTCATATCTGTGGCAGTGTCCATCTTCACCCTGGGGACAGAATGATTGTAATAATAAGGATGAAGTGGCCAAAATCACCTGCTCAAGTGAGATGATATTTAAATGATGTAAAATGGTCTCAGTAGTCATGTTTCTTTAAACACAATGTTTATATGCCGTGCGTAAACTAATGTTTAAGAAAAGCTACGCTTAGCTGATGGAAGGAGTTTAACATGATTTGTGAGGCTTAAATGTTGTTTTCACACTGATATGTTTCACTGAAAGATGTTATGTCCCTTGTATCCTAATTTTCAGTTCTCTTCATGTTTTAATCTCAGAGGAGGAAAATCAGGAGTCTCCTCGGAGTCGTTTGACATGTTTAATCTCACCATCTCCTCACCAGAGACAGTGTTCAGTATATATATATATATATATAATTTTAGTTAACGTAAGCCTTATTTTCCAAATATATTTTTAAAATATGTACAAATATGTACAGTACATCTGGTTCAGGGTGTGTTTTGTTGTAAATGTGCTGATGCTAGTCAGTGCTGGTTGATGTGTGTGTTTTAGATCATGTTCCTCTCAGACTGAGTGGAGGGGAGGGCCGGTGCTCTGGGAGGCTGGAGGTGTATCATAACGCTGTGTGGGGCTCAGTCTGTGATGATCAGTGGGACATCAGCGATGCTCAGGTGGTCTGCAGGCAGCTGGGTTGTGGAGCAGCACTGAGGGCTGATGGGAATTCAGTCTTTGGTGCTGGTGAAGGTGTTGTGTGGCTGAACAGAGTCGAGTGCAGAGGGAATGAGATTCACCTGTGGGACTGTCCTCTCTCCCTGAATAACCACACTGACTGCTCCCACAAAGAGCACGCTGGACTCACCTGTGCAGGTCACAGCAAAAATTTGTGATAATTTTAGTGTTAATAATAGTTGAGTGTTTATTCAGTCATTTGCATTATTGTTAATGTGTTTGTGTCTGTTTTGCCAGATGTGTTAGTGTCCATTACTCCTGCCACAACAACATCAGATTCTCCTCCAGTTTCTCCTTCAGTGCGCTCAACATCAGTCGCTCCTTCACAAACTCCTCCAGCAGCGTCTCTCTCCGTCCCAAAAGTGCTTGTGATTGTTCTGGGAGTTGTGCTCTTACTGCTCTGTGTGTGTGTGTGTGTGTGTGTGTGTGTGTGAATGTCTGTGTGTCTGTCAGCGTCTCTTCCTGTATATTTTTAGATTGTCATAAGCAGGTGTTCATATAATTTTAAGTGTAGGTGCAGGTGTGTGTGTGTGTGTTTGTATTTCTGGAAAGCAGTGAGGAATGGGTTCATGTGAGGATACAGTACATGTGTATTTGCTAATAGGCCCAATAAAAAGGGATGTCTCTCTATAATACTTTTAAAATGTGAATAATTAATTTTTGTGTTGTCTTGTCTTCTTTATAATCGAAAGGAAATGAGGATTCAGTCTGTTTGTAATGATGAACATGTTTCTGATGGTTCTGCTCTCCTTTAACAGGGAGTCTCATCTCTGAAGAACTGTTGTCAGTGAAGATGTGAGAAACCTGTTGGGTAAGTTATTATAACCCTTTTGTTCTCATTATATTAACATCTTTATATATATTGTAATATTTTTGAAAATTTTCCAGCTTTTTATACTTTTAAAATATTCATCCAATTACAACATTTGACATGATTTTTAATATTTTTAATAACAGATTATGATGATGTGGAGGAGGAGTCAAACAAATAAGATTTTTCCCAATGATCATCCATTGCCTCGGTTCAACAAATTTGAACAAAGTTTGAGTGATATTGTTATTGATATGTCAAATCTTGGGGTTTTATGTTTCACCAAGTGTTCTTTGTTTTTTATTAAAACTTCTATGCCTTTGTCAGATTTTGTTGTGTTGTTTTTTGGCCTTGTTAATAGCAATAAAAAACTTTTCAGACAATTTTTTTGTGTGTATTTCAATAAGACATTACACAAACCCTGAAGTCAAATGTCTGATCTTACCTTTTAATGCACAACTGCTGCGGTGACAATCAAAGTCATCCTAAATATAAGCCATAAATGACCATCAGTGTTTTCACAGCCTTCAGCATCATCATAGCAAGTACTGGAGTTTTGTGAGTGGATAATGCTGAAAAAAATGCATTTACTTTGGATGAATTAAAGTAACTTTCATAATAGAAAAAAAAAAACAATTTTTATCACATAATTGTATGTGATCAGATGTGTTTTTAATCGATAAATAAATATGAATATTACTTACATGCATCATTTATCAAGCTGTAGAAGTGTTGAATTATATATGTAAATCAACAACCTGTAACACGTTTAAAAGTCTTCTCTATAAACCTCTTCTCTATAAACCTCTTCTCTATAAAACTTTAAAATAATTTCAATATATTATGACTTAATAATGCTTAACAGCAGAACATTAGAACCCCGGTGCAGCTCATGTTTTATCATCAATATAAAACAAGCGCAGTTGCCTGTTATGTGACTTCACAGCAATTTCCACTTCAATATCCACAATATCCACTTCTTTGAGCGCTCATTTTGTATCTCGATGTTAATATCTCGTTACTGTTTTGCTGAGTGAACTCCAATGATTCAGTTCAATGATTCACTGAACAATAAAGAACCGGATTCAAAAGATTAATTCGGGAATTGCTAGTTCTGATTCTAAACAACAGACTGAAAACAAGACTTAATTCCTGAAGTATTGTCAGGGTAAATGTTTCTCTGGTCAGTATACTGTAGTTAAAGATTTATAAATAGTATAGTAAAACTGTTCTGGCACAGACAACAGTATTTTAACTGGGGCTCGTGTCCCAGTCAAACGAGTCTGGAGAAGCACCTTTACTGTAAGGCATCAAATTTGTCATCTCTTTTTTTACTGCCACCCACAGGAATAGATCGGTATTGCAGTATTATACATATAAAAGCAGCTGCAAACTTGGCTCTTGTATGATGAACTGTGCATGACCATATAGCGTCACCTTGGAATTATAAGGTTCTATCTGACATTTTTGTCAAAATTGAGTTATTCACATATTCATATTCTGTGACAACTTATTTACATTATGTGATATTTCTTTTTTAAGTTGTGTACATTTTGGGACTTTTTTTTTAGAAAACAAAAAGGTTCTATCTACAGTCAAACTCTAACTTGGTTCTATAAGGTTCTATCTGCGTGAGCCAATCAGCACTTCGAATGCACACACGACGACTAATCAGGATCAGCTTTCTTTGTCATGTCGCCGGACTGCGCCGCGGCAGCGGAAGAGAGCGCAATAAAACGCTAAATCAATGAAGAGAAGACTAAATAATTTCACACAATGTTCACACAAACGCGATGTTTATTAGAAACCACATGATCGACTATTTTATTTATGATCTTGAAAATGACAGCAGCCCAAATTCCAGGGAATTACAGTTGTTTTGTGTGTTTTGCTGTAGCTATTGCGGAGTTATTTACAGGTAAATTATTTATTTTCTTAAAAAATAAATGTTATTTTCTCCTCTATGCCCCGCCTTTCTGAAACGCATCGATTTTTACAATCAGCTCCAGGCATGACGAAGCAGATATCGTCCTCTTTTGGAAGGCCAAACAAAGTAGTTTCGCTTTCACTACGAATCACACATTTTTTTTCGTCTGAAAATGTCTTAAATTTTACAATATTAAGCCTTAAAAGTCAAAAAGTCAACAATTTAATTGATTGGGTCTTAATTACAACAATAAACGTTAGCATGTTTTTTCAGCCATACTGATGTCTGAGAAGGCCATTTTATCTGTCCCACTTTCTGTGGAATAAAGTCCTGGTCAGATGTATCACAGTAGCTGCTTTCTGTCTAAACAAAAGGAAACTTAAACTTAAATGGTTCCTGCAATAATGTGTTAAATTACCCACCATATTCCTGTCTAAATTTAACATCTGCACTGGACAAAATATTTAGCACTGACTTTTATGCTTAACATGAACAAGAAAAAATATTCATTTAAAATATGAAATAAATGTCATAAAAACCATTAAATTTTACTTTCTCATGCATGTCAACACATTGTTACAACACTAATTGTATGTTTTAAAACAAATTATAAGTAAACTGTTTGTGTTTCTTGAAAATTATTGCTTCAATTAATTTTTTGCCATATAGAACCTTATAATTCCAAGCGAAAAGTGTTTTTTTTTTAGAATTAGAATGTTCTATCTGCATCTGACCCATTCCAGAAATCCCCATTTACAAATTTGAGAGGATTTTGAAATTGTACATTTAGAATGCATTTAGGGTCCCTGTCATTTTCATGTTTTAAAGAAACTTGTTCCCCATATAATTTTTGCTATATGGAATGCAAAAACTTTGAAGCTCAATATCTCAAAACTGCTCAGAACGCAGATAGAACCTTATAATTCCAAGGTGATGATACTTTATTGTCTATATTTTATTTTATTTTTAAACAAAATGCCCTGCTAATATACTATTAATATATACACTAACTGTGAACTTGACAAGCATTGCTAAATATACTTCTGAATAACAGTAGCTAAAACAATTCTTTAAAAAAGTACATTTGATACATTTGTATAACGTCTCGGTTACTTGTGTAACCCTCGTTCCCTGAAGGAGGGAACGGAGACATTACGTCAGTCGTGACTGACGAATTGGGATCTCGCCTGAGAACCCAATCACCTTCGAGTGTTAACTAAACAAGCCAATGACAGTTG